GAAGTAGTCGATCTCACGTCGTCATTTAGGTTTTCCTCTTGGCTTTAATGCTCAAGAAGCTTTACCTGCAAAAGGAAAACATGCAAGATTTCTAACTTATAGAGCCAACAATCGAAGTCATAACTTCCAAAGGAAGCAGGCGAGTTCGCGTAGTTGCTATAGTTGCGAATCTCGGCTTTAAAGGCTTCACGAGCCTTAGCCTTTCCGGGGCATAAATTATGAAAATTTTAAATTATAGAGATGGCGGCCGAACATGTGATTATCGTAGAAAGCAGAGGAAATCCGTGTAGCTGCTATAGTCGTACGACTTTAGCTGTTGCACGAGCCTTGGCCCTCTAGGGGCATGTTGCAAAATTTTTAACTTATAGATCCAGTGGCCGAACATGTGGTTCTCATAGAAAGCAGAGGAAATCCGCGTAGCTGCTATAGTCATACATTTTGGCTTTAACGGTTGCACTAGCCTTAGCCCTCCTGGGGCATGTTGCAAAATTTTTAACTTATAGAGTCGGTGGTCGGGCACATGCTTCTCGTAGAAAGCACAGGAAATCCGCGTAGTTGCTATAGTCGTGCATTTCAGCTTTAGTGGTTGCACGAGCATTGGCTTTCCAGGGGCATGTTGCAAAATTTTTAACTTATAGAGCTGACAGCCGAACACATGCTTCTCGTAGAAAGCAGAGGAAATCCACGTAGCTGTTATAGTCATACATTTCGGCTTTAACGGTTACATGAGCCTTAGCCCTCCCAGGGCATGTTGCGAAATTTTTAACTTATAGAGTCGGCGGTCGGACACATGCTTCTCATCGAAAGCAGAGGAAATCTGCGTAGTTGCTATAGTTGTACATTTGAGCTTTAACTCTTGCAAAACCTAAACCGTAGACAGTCCGTAGGAAACGCTACTTTTAAATTAATAGACGGGTCCGCGTAGTCATAACAGGTGTAAGTTTTGTCTTACAAATTGCCTTAGGTTGGTCATCAGCCAGGCTCTGACTTACAGAAACAGACGACTCACGTGACCACTTTAGGCATCGTCCTTAGCTCTTGGAGGCATTTTTGGCTTAAAGTGTTGGCAAAATCTTGCCTCAGAGGCCATATCCTTTCGAGTTTTAACTTGACTCCACAGGTCGCTTAACTAGCATTGCAACACTTTAAAGCCAAGCTATGTTCATAAAGATTTGCACATCGAGGACAAACTATCTAGTCACAATAATTCTTTCATGGACAGGAATCTTGCACTTAGCATCACTTTTGGTTAAAGACCTGGGCTCCCGCGAAATTGAATCTTTTAGTCGGCTAAGCCTTTCTAGGAGAAAAACTATTGTGGCCAATTCTGGGAGTTGTCTGTCGCAGGTAATTGATGCATTCAGGGGGGACTGAGCAGTCATAAAACCCATCCACGTTTGGATATCCTGGATCAGTTTACCCTCTCCCACACATGCAATGTCTGTAAGCACAGGGGCGTCTTCTGCTGTCACAGGGTGGTTAGTTTGTTTATGCATTTGGTCTAGACTTGTGAATAATTCCTTAAAAAATAAAGAAATGTATTAACTTTTCTTGTATGCAGTAATAGCATAATAAGTGATAATCCTTAGTATGCGAGGTTTTGTTCGTTGAGCTGCTTGAGTCTTTGAACTTTATGTGTCTTGAACAAGGTCCAAGGAATGGTGGGAGGTCATACATAGTACTTTCTCAGGTTGTAAGCATTCCATTGCTTTTTGATCTCTTTGTCGCTCATAGTGGTGATGGTGTAGCTGCCCTTTCCGCCTACTCGACTGATTTTGTACGGAGCTTTCTGGATATGAGCCATCTTTTTGGAGCTTTCCCGGCGGGTGCTTATGAAGGCTTTTTGGAAGACATAGTTTCCTGGCTAGAACTACCAGATCTTTACCCTCTTATTATAGCTGGAGAAGATCTGCTGTTGATAGGCTGCAATGCAGGTGATAACCTTCTCACGCTCTTCCTCTACCAAGTTTAGGTTTGTGGCCATCTCCTTCTCATTCTGCTCTAAATTCGGCAGTACAGTGCTGATTCTTACCACCATGACGTTAGGATGAATGATTGCCTTAAAACCATACGCTAGAGAGAATGAAGTTTCGTTAGTTGCTCGTCTTTTGGTGATGCAATACACCCACAGAACATCGGGAAGCTTATTTGGCCATTTGCCCTTTTTGTTTGAGAGGGACTTCTTGAGGCAGTCGAGAATGGTTTTGTTGGATGCCTCGGCCTGCCCATTGCCCTGCAGATACCGGGGCGTGGACATATGCTACTTGATGCCATATTTTTTGAAGAAATTCGCCAAGTCTTTGTCCACGAACTGCGGACCATTGTCTGTGATGATGGAGAGAGAGCTGCCAAAGTGGCAGATGATGCTTTTCCTATGAAGCGCTCTATGTCTTTCTGGGTAATTGTAGTCATGGGCTCAGTTTCGATCCATTTCGTGAAGTAGTCGGTCGCTACAATCATTATGCATCTGCCCTTAGTGGCAGACGGTATTGGTCTTACTAGGTTAATCGCCTATTGCATGAATGGCCAATGGCTTGTTTGCGAGTGGAGTTCGTTGGCAGGTAGTGTGAGCAAGGGCTTGAAGCGCTGACTGTTGTCGTACCTTTGTACATATTCCTTGGCGTCTTGATGCATGGTAGGCCAGTAGCAGCTGGCGTTAAGAGTTTTTTGAGCCAAAGAACGACTTCCATAGTGGTTTCCACAGAAGCCTTTGTGGATTGAGCTAAGAATCTTCAGGTCATCAAGAAGTGATAGGCAGAAGATATGTGGTCTTGAGAATGATCTATGAACAAGCATGTCGTTCCATGTGTAGTAGCATGCTGCCTTCATCTAGAGCTTTCTAGACTACAATATATCCTCGGGGAGCATTCCGTTGAATATATAGTCAATAATGGGATTTTGCCAATTTGGAATTGCGTTGATTTATACTCAGTTTTTCCAAGTACTCGACTAGGATGGAACGTCTGAGTTAATGGTTTAAGGCAGAACCTAGGCCTGCTAGTGCGTCTACGTGGGTATTTTCTGCTTGTGGAACCTAAGTAAATGTGTACGCCTAGAACATTGCTAGTTGCTTTCGTACCTTCTCGAGGTATTAGGCCATCCTTGGATGCTTTGTTGTGTACTTCCTTGAGGTTTGGTTGGTAATCAGCAGGGAATTGGAACAGATCGCGAGCTTCTTCACGGCTAGGTCTTTTGCCAATCGGAAACCTACTAGTAGGACTTCATAATCTTCTTCATTATTTGATGCCTTGAGCTTAGAACGACCGCCTGCTCGAGCATCGAACCGACCAGGGTAGTAAGAACTAGGCATGCTTTCGATCCCTGGTAGTTAGATGATCCATCGACGTTGTGGGATACTTCATATCCAGGATCACTTTAATCTGCCTTGGAGAAGCCTTAATTCCTTACTGGGTTACAATGTACCCTAAGAATCAGCCTGAAGAGACGCCAAAAGTGCACTTGGTTGAGTTTAGCTTCATTTTGTACTCTCGGATTATGTCAAAAGTCTCTGTCAAGTTGCCAATGTGGTGTGATTGCTACTTGCCTTTTACCATGATGTTATCGACGTAGACTTCCATGGTTACTCCGATTTGCTTCTTGAGCATCGTGTTTACAAGTCATTGGTAAGTTGTTCCTGCGTTCTTGAGGCCAAAGGGCATAACCTTGTAGCAGTATGTGCTTAGCTTGATCATAAATGCAGTTTTCTCCTTATCAGGCTCGAGCATGGCAATCTGATTATAGCCTGAGTATGCATCCAAAAAGCTGAGCAGCTGGTTCCCGGATGTTGAGTCAACGAGCAGGTCAATTCGAGAAACTGGGTAGTTATCTTTAAGGCACGCCTTGTTGAGGTTGGTGTAATCCACATATACTCCCCATTTGCCCTTGTCTTTTTTCATCACCAGCATGACGTTGGCCAGCCATGCTGAGTGCGCCACTTTCTCAATGAATCTGGCCTTCAGTAACTTGTCGATCTCTACCTTAATAATCGCTACTCGCTAGGGTAAGAAATGTCGCCTTTTCTGGATCATATGTTTGGCTGCGAGATCGACTTGCAGCCTATGACAAGCTATCGTTGGATCGATATCGGGCATGTTAGAGGGTAACCATGTAAAAACATTATGGTTTTCCCTAAGGAAAGTCGTGAGTTCTCCCTTCTCTTTCGGGCTCAGACATGAGCCAATCTTAGCCGTCTTCTCTAGCTGGTAGGGGTGAAGAATGATGTTCTCGATATTTTCTTTGGGTTTCCATCTTGATTCATCTGTTAGGGCATTGTTGACCTTAACGCCATCTTCTTGACCTGCTTCTTGTAATTGTCACTGTCTTTCTATATTTCAGCTGCTACTGTTCGAGCGAAAGACTTCCTCCTCGTCTCATTGAGAACTTGTATAGTGTGTCATCGAGACATGGCATGGTCGTCTTTGATCTCTCCGATAGCTCATCTCGGGATGCAAAATTCAATTTTCTGATATTTGATCGAGGTCACAACTCCAATTTTCATTAGCCAAGGTCATCCCAATATCCCATTATGGAGAGATGGGTCGCTGACGATCATGAAGGTCTGCAATGAGACAATTGGAGGGCTGGTTACGTCGAGCGTGATAATGTTAATGGCAGTTGAGGTGAGTTCGTTGAATCCAGTCAAGACCTCTGCTTTGCATTTGATCATGCTTTCCAAGCCCATCTTCTGGATGACTGACAGTTGTAAGGTGTCGTCGTGGGGAAAGTCTACTCTCTTCTCGTCCTGCTTGGTGAAGCCGACGATTGGTCCAAGTATAACATTTATGGCTTGAACTTGAAAGACTAATCTCGCATGCTGGATCTTCTTTTTCTTGGAACTATTGGTGGCCTCCAGATGCTCGAATTCGACAAAGATATAGTTGATTTATATCGTCTTCGATGAGGTTCGGTATCAGCGTTGCTTCTCGCCTTGGCTGGGCAGCTGGCCTGTCGATATACTTGTGGCACTTGCCTTTCTTCACAAGCTTATCACGGAACTTCATCTATATAGTGTAGTCGTTGGTTGTGTGCTCTGGGCCTTTGTGGAATGCGCAATATTTTGTCTCGTCCATCTTGGTGGTGTCCCCTCTTATGGATAGCAGCATTTTGAACCACGGCTTGTCCTTGAGGTCGCGAATGATTTGGTTAATCAGGACCGAGAACTTGGTGTACGTCTTGGGCACTGAGCTTTCCTTTGCGAATGACCGGTCTCTGCATCTACTTCCTGGCTTGTCCTTATTATTGAGTGGTTTATCTCTTGCCTTTTTCTGAGTTAGCTCTGCGTATTTGCGCGGCTGCTCAAGCGGCTTCTGGGAGCACTTGGCCTCATCCCAGAGGGAGTGCTTTTCTGCCAAAGCATAAAAGTCTACCAGGGTCAAGTTCTTACCCATGATCAATTTTCTGAAAAATGGGTGATCTGCTAGGAACCCCTTTCGGAAGGTTGAGCATGCAATGCTGTCCTTACATTCAACGATCTTCACCTTCTCTACCTTGAACCTCTTGACGCATGTGCGGAGTGACTCATTTAGGTCATTCTTCATGTTGAAGAGGTGGTCAAACTTCTTTTTGATCGAGCGGTAGGACGAATATTCCTTAGTGAAAACCAAGAAAAGTTTGCTGAAGTTTCGAATTAAGCATGGCGGGAGGGTATAGAACCAGTATTGCGCCTCATTTTGGAGCGTCGTGGCAAAGATTCTGCATATGAGAACGTCATTTTGGCGTAAAGAGTCATGGCACTTCGGTAGTGCATTAAGTGCATGTCTGTAAATGGTGACCTGCCTATGTTGGCCATGTCTCTACGAAGGGCATCGTCGATAGTATTAATGCGCTCGAATCCGCGTGGTTGCTCTGTTACGAACCTTTGTACTTCCTCATAGATTTGCACTTGGTGGGGGTCATAGAGCCTCTAACTACCCCCGGTATGGATCTACCAGTCCATATTGCTCTTCAATATGTATTGTTCGTCTATGCCGCGGTTGCGTTGCACGTGGTTCATTCTGTGCTGCTCGCCGTCGTGCTTGGCAGGGGCTACTAATGGAACTTGAGCTTTACTGCTCTCATGCTCTCCTTGGTCTGCCATGTGGCTGTCTACCCTAGTGCCTCATAAGAGGATCTCCTTGTGGGCCTAGCCTCATGTGGGTGCTTCGTATGTAATGTCCTGGTGTGAATCCAACCTCGAATGCACACTGACTCGTGAGTCGAGTCTGGAATAAACATTACTCTGCGCATTTAAGCGGGAGAAAATGTTTCCTCGAGGGCCCAAACGAGAGTGCACACTACCCGAACGCAAGGTTCGTGGTAGGCTGAACCACTCTTTGCCGGGGTATCGTTGGAATGAGACACGTTCTTCTGCTCTTGTCCTGCTTCGGGATACCTCATCAAGGGTGTACTGCCTCTCGATTCGCTCAAGGAGCTGGTTCACCAAGGTGGTCTGCTGCGCGAGGAAGCTCGTCAAATTAGTGACTCACTGGGGTAGATGGTGCTTGCCATTTGGATTTGAAGAGTCTGGATAATGGGCATCTCCATGTGTGGTGGAAGTGTAGTGGACTGCATGTACAAAGCTTGAGCCCAAAGCGGGTATTCCTACAGAAAAGTGAGGTGAAAATAACCCTAAGTCTATCGCGTGACTGATGGTCAGAATCTGGATCGCCAGAGATGGCCTCGGATTGGATTGGGTTGCGGGCCGGGTCGTTGGAGCCGTTCACGAAACGGGCCAATCCTACTGGGTTGTCGGAGTGTACACGTAGGTTGGTTGACGTTGGGCCTGCACCTTGCTCTTCACGAGCTTGGGCTCGGCAGAGAATGGGCTAGGCTCGGTTGGCAGGGAGCTGGGCTTTGGCTGCCTACCCATAAGCTATTCCTGTTGAATGGGCCAAGTCTGCTAGGCTCCCGTAGGCCTGGACCTACAGTGCAACTTGGCTTGCTACTGCGGTAGGATGGGCCTCATGCCCTGGGCCTACTGTGGCAGCTGCAAGGCTTTTGGCCTCCTACCCGTGGACCACAGATTGAACATGGGCCTCTTGCCCAGGGTTTTGGGGATTAAGCCGCTGCAAGGGCAGCGTTGTAGGAGCTTGGGCCATAACCTGGTGGCCTTGCCGTGGCTGCTGGATCGCGGCAACGGTGATAGTGCGGCTCCATGACTGTGAGGCTCCTACTGCCATCGCGTTGAGCCTTAAAAATCGTCGTCGTGGGGCTATGTCCTCATCTCTACTTTTTGGTCTAAATCCTTGTATATATGGGGTTCCGTTTGTCATGGTTTTTGAATTTCCTACCATTGTATCCTTTCTTCAGGGACTGATCAAGAAACTTTTCTAGGAAAAATTAATTGATACGACGTGTGAGAAATTCAACGTAACAGAAATTCTAGAAACCAAATGCAAGAGGCTTCTTTGAGTATTTGAATCAGCTCTCAATGAAAGCACCAATTTGTCGATGCAAATTTCCACCGTCTTTAGTCTTGACGAAAATGCACCTGCAAAACAATTAACATCTTTGATCAAAGACCTAAGCCTCATGTGCCCACGAGGTGGTGGAGGGTTAGGCCAATGGATCTTTTATGCCTAAGTTAGTTTCTCTGTGGAGAGTAAAAGGATAACAAAAGCCTCCAAAATTTGGTAGAATATGTGATATATGTAGGGGAGAGGGCCGACCATAGTGTTAGGGTTTTACCCTACACATCGCAACATCCTATTGACCAAGGTTTATGGAGAAATATTCTTAAGATATTAAATAGGAAATAATATTTTGAGATAATGGAGTAATTATCCCAAATTGAATTAAATAGGGATTACTTACTCGAATGAAGTCAATCTTCAATTGGGAATGTATTAAAGATAGGATTTGGGTAATTAATCCTTATCTTTAATACTTTGACTTTTCCTTGCCAAGGGCAAGTGAGCTGTGGGCAGTCGTATTCGGCTACTGGGACCTTCAGGGGTGTGAACTACGCGTGAAAGTATCTGAGGAGCTTGCCCATTTATTGAGGGCAATCTTGTATTTCTTGAGCAAAAGTCTATGTGTTGCCTCTAGAATTTTTGGGATTATTTTAGGCTCCACATATTGGAATCGCCCAAGCTTTCATCTTACACAGCTTGGATACCTAACGAATTAACAATAAGTGCAAAAGTGGTACTTAATACTTGTGTGTGGTGATATTCTTTGTCTGCATATAATCATTTTGTATGTTTAAATTAAGACAATATATTTCACAAAGAGTACGAAAAAAATTTCATATAACAACAACAACAAAGCCTTATCCCACTAAATACCAGTTTGATACAACTTACATTTGAAAAAAAAGTAGGTGCCAAAAAAGTCCTCTCTCTACCTCTCAATTGCTGACTTAGGTGTGTGAGCATGGACGAAGTCAGAGATCTGTAGAAATGAGGGCATCCTCAAACAACAAAGTTACAAATGAAAAAAATTCAAGAATTTACTAGATAAAACACCTATATATTAATCTATGAAGTTTTTCATGCAACATATTACAATATTCTCTCCATGTGTTTTCATGTTTTGAATGTATTGAGTGGGGGTATCCACCCTTGCTAAGCCTAAGGTGGCTCCGTCCATGTGTGTGAGAATGCGTTTCCGCATACCCATTATGAACCCATTTCATCACACTTCTATGTTTCTCACACGTGTCTCTGAACCAATTCACCAAAACCACTGTTTTTCTTTCTAGAATCGTCTCAGCCATGGAGGCCTGGATTTGCACAGCTTCTCCACCACTTGTCTCTTACTATTTTTCTTCATATTGGGTTGGGCTTGTCTGACCTGTTTTTCTTCATAATGGTTGTGGATTTGGGAGAAGAAACAGGATGGTGGGGTTGGGCTATGATGGTGGGAATCAGAAGAGAGATAGGGAAGGGGAAAAAAGAGGACAGAGAAAACAAGAAAATGAGGAAGAGTTTTAGAGAGATTAGTCTTATAATATAGAGTAATAAATAATAAATCAATAAAGCAAATTATTATAGTACATTCAACATTATAACATTTTTAGTCATTTAATACAATCACAATAGTTTTATATAAAAATTTACCAAACATTTGGACGCTATTTTTTTTGTCAAAAGCGCTTTACAAAAAAAGTTTACAAACACTAAACTACTTTATTTTATAGTTGTTTATTCTCACAACACAGCACAACACTAGTAGTTTTTTTTAATCTTTTTTTTATTTTTATTTTTGAAAAGCACAACAGTACCAAACTAGCGCTAAGTGTGGTCGACTGTATGAATCATAGAATGCCACTATGCTCGGTTTTATGCCAAGTCTTCCGTTAGATCCAACTACTCTAATTCTTTTCTTAGAGTCTCTTTTCATGTCTTCCTTTACCCGTTTGGCCCTGAGCCTTTGTCTTATAGCCGCATCATCTAACTGGAGCGTATGTAGGTCTTCTTTCACATGTCCAAACCATCTTAACTGATTTCTCATCTTATCTTCAATTTCGATTACTCCTACTTTACCTTGGATATCTTCGTTTCTAATCTTATCCTTTCTTGTGTGCCTACACCTCCAATGAAGCATTCTCATCTCCGATACGCTCCTTTTGTGTACGTGTTGATACTTAACTGCCCAACATTACGTGCCATAAAGCATTATTGGCATTATTGCGGTTTATAAACTAGCTTTAGTAACATACAACGGTCTTACAACACACCTGGTACACTCTTCCACTTCATCCATCCAACTTGTATTATATGGTTGAGGTCTCCATCCAATTCTCAGTTCTTTTGCAAGATAGATCCAAAGTAGTGAAAGCTTTCACTCTTTGATACTTCTTGATCTCCAATACTCACCCATAACTTATTTGAACCTCTGTTCCCACTAAATTTGCACTTTATATACTCTGTCGTTAACCTACTTAGATGAAGACCTTTACATTCCAACACTTCCTACCAAAGGTTAAGTTTCGCATTTACTCCCTCATGACTTTCATCTATCAACATTATATTGTCTACGATAATCATACACCACACCAAGGAATATCATCTTGAATATGTCCCGTTAACTTATCCATTACATATGCAAAAATGTAAAGACTTAAAGATGAACCTTGATGTAACCCTACAGTTGTGGGAAAGCTTTTGGTTTGTCCTTCATGAGTTCTTACAGAAGTCTCCCATCATGCATATCCTTTGTAACTTGGATATATGCCACTCGTACTGTTTTCTTCTCTAAAATCTTCCAAAGAATCTCTCTTAGGACCATCTTTTTTCGTATCTCTATATCTTTCCATCGATCTTCATATGAGATAAGTTGCCTCCATGGTCGAGTGCGTTGGCATGAACCCGAATTGATTGTTTGAGAACAGTGTTTCTTGCCTCAGTCTCTGCTCAACATACTCTCTTCCAGAGCTTCGTTGTTTGACTCAATAACTCAATACCCATATAGTTCATGCAATTTTATACGTCTCCCTTATTCTTGTAGATATGCATCAAAGTGATTTTTCGCCTTCATTTGGCATCTTTTTTGTTTTCAAAATCCTATTGAAAGTGTCTGTGAGCCATGCTATACCTATCTCTCCCAAGACTTTCCACAATTCGATCGGTATATCATATGGGCCACTGCTTTTCTATGCTTCATCTTTTTCAAAGCTACAATTGCTTATTCTTTCCTAATTCGATGGTAGAATGAGTAATTTCTACACTCTTATGAGTTACTCAACTCCCCTAAAGAAGTATTCCTTTCATGTCCTTCATTGAAAAAATTATGAACATAACTTCTCCATCTGTCTTTAACGGCATTCTATGTAGCTAGAACATTTTCATCATCATCCTTGATGCACCTTACTTGGTTCAAGCCTCTTGTCTTCCTCTTCCTTGCTCTAGGTAGTTTATAGATATCCAACTCTCCTTCTTTGGTATTTGATCGCTTATACATATCGTCAAAATCCACTAGCTTCACTTCTCTCACTGCTTTCTTCACCATTTTATACATTGCACAGTTTTCATCGGTTTGATTCTTGTATAAGGTTTAGAACATTTCTTCTTAGCCTTAACCTTTGCCTACCTCCTCTGTCCACCACCAATATTCATTTTTAATGTAGAGCAAAACCCTTAGACTCTCGTAATACCTCTTTTGCAACTTTTTGGATACAGCTAGCCATGGAATCCTACATTTGGCTAGCGTCCTCCTCTGTATCCTAAATGCATTGGGTGAGTACTTTCTCTTTGAAAGTGACTTGTTTTTCTCATTTTAGATTCTATCATCTAGTCCTTGAATATTGCAAAGTTTTGTTCTTTCTTCTATCTCTTTTGTTATATACATCCGTCACCAACAAGCGATGTTTGTTAGCCAAGTTCTCTAACGATATAATTTTGCAATCCTTACCAGTTATATGATCCACCTTCCTTATTAAAAGGAAATCTATTTGTGTTTTTAATGACCCACTCTTGTAGGTGATCACACGCTAATTTCTCTTCTTAAATAAGGTGTTGGCTAAAAAAAGATCGTATGCCATTGCAAACTCCAAAATGACTTCCCCATCATCGTTTCTCCCCCAAAAACCATAGCCACCATGAAAACCTTCGTAGTTGCCTTTCTCCTTGGCCACATGTCCATTTAAATCTACTCCTATGAACAACTTCTCCGTTTGAGAGATTCCTTGGACCAATTCTCCAAGATTTTCCCAAAATTTCTCCTTCAAACTCAATATTCAACCCAACTTAAGTGCAAACGCACTAATCACATTGATGAGTTTTTGTCCTACCAAAATCTTGATTGCTATAATTCTATCCCCGATCCTCTTAACATCTACAACACCTTGCATTAGATTCTTGTCCACAATGATTCCAACACCATTTCTCGTTCTGTTTGTGCCTGAATACCAAAGCTTAAAACCTGAGTTTTCAAGATCCTTAGCCTTGAGACCAACCCACTTAGTTTCTTGGAGGCACATAATACTTATCCTTCTCCTCACCATAACTTCCACTACTTCCATAGATTTTCCCATTAAAGTTCCTATATTCCAAGTTCCTAGACGCATTTTACTCTCTTGAACCCTACCCCCATATCCTAGCTTCTTAGACCTCACCCGTCTAGTACTTTGAAAGGTCAGACATAGCTTTTTCACTTAGTGTTTTAGGAGGGTTTCAATCTAAACCGGGAAATGCTCATTCTATTGCAGCTAAGAAGGGTGATGAGATATTTACAAACAACCAAAGAGTATAAGTTGGTTTACAAAAACAGTGACCATTTGGAATTGATTGGTTACTAGTTCTCCAAACTCGATGAAATCGACTTCTAGTTTTGTGTTTATGATGACTGGAAGTGCAGTGGCATGGAAGAGTAAAAAACAAGGCATAATGACCTCATCAACCACGTGTGGGGGATTTGTGGCTTGCTGTGAATCCACATTGCAAGCAGTTTGGATAAAGAATTTCATTATGAAGCTCAAAGTGGTGGAATCAATTTCAAAACCTATACAGGTATGGTGTGACAATAAGGCAGCCGTCTTCTGCTCTAAGAATAAAAAAGGTCACCTAGCACTAGGTACTTGGATTTTTAATATCTAATTGTTAGAGAGAAGGTCAAGGTGGGGAAAACGAAAATTGATTACATAGATGTGCACACTTTAGATTGCAGACCCTCTCAACAAAGGATTGCCTAATGCAGCATTCAAGAAACATGTGACTAGCATAGGGCTTCATGTAAGCCTTGATCTGCTGGATTAGTGGGAGCTTCAATCTCATTTAAGTATGTTTCTTTAATGTGGGCTTAATTTATTTTGTTAGCTAGAGCTTGATAACTTTCGAATATGGGAATTTTATTTGGATGGTATCTATGAAGTATGTCACATTAAAGTCTCTGTATTTTTGTTTGTTTATGTTGTTATAAGTATTGGTTTGATTTTTCATTTTTAATAGCTTATTACAACGATATTTGAGATATAGTAGCAGCTGATAGCAGTCTCATTTGACAAATTCAGTAGTTTCACTGGAAGCTAATAAGGAGGACCAAAGCATGAAACTATATGGAGGACATATAAGGGTTTTCATTGCCATACTTCATGTCCTGATGGTATCTCTTGTGACTATGTAAGCTTGCATTAGTGGTTATGAAGTCTGCAATTTGAGATAGTTGGTAAGCGTTGTTAGCTCAATATAAGTAGCTGTTGTTGACTGAGATTTGAATTGAACTACTTGATATTATTCCATGGTCACTAAGGAAATTTTGGTTTATAACTCATTGGTTTACCATTCACAATGTTTAATCGCCCATGTGGGAGACCGTTGGGGTTTTACTCCAACTTCATTCATCTGGAATGATATGGTCTCATAGTTATTGTGGGATTGTGAGTTATAAGCTAAGATATAGCAATTGTTTTAGTTTAAAACCGGTGATTTCCTAGTTAGTATTGGATTACTTAACCAGAGGCTAAAGGGGTTCAAAGGGTAAAACCCTAATGTTGACGTGGGGATCAAGTAAGAGGTTTTACATGTGGGCTTTTAGGGTTTCTTTATGGAGGGAACTCTTGGATCAATGACACTATAAATATAAGAGATCCCTGCACATAGTAACGCACGCAATAAAGCACCAAAGCTCCCCATTGAGTCGTTGCCTAAGGGTTAGTAGTGTGTAGAAGATTTCTTGGAGTCTAAGGAATCTCAAAGCTCATCAATGGTTGCTCCAGGTATGTATAAGTTCATGTGTTTTATTTTATTAGACTAATATAGTTTTACATTATCGTCAATTAATCGTTGGCAGAAATTTGCATCCACAATGTGTGTTTAAGAAAACAAGAACTTAATCAAAGCTTGATGATGTTTCATGTATTCAGTGATTAAAAATGTAGAGGGCTCCAGATCCCATTTGATTGTGCTTGTAATTTCCGCAAACGACTGAAAAAGCATATTACTGATCACACATTACAAAGATTATTGAATATTCCTTATTGGCTTGAGTGTGTATATCTTTTATAGCTGGAATCTTTAGAAGGATCACATTGGATTCTAGTCGAAAATTTAACTTAATGGTCGAAACAACAATAGAAGGCATTCGGGATAAACTGATAATTGAGACAAAGTTTGAGGATACAACACATGGCTGGCCTCTACTGGACGTCTTTCTCGAATTCTTATGGAATAAAAGGGATAATTGGCCTAAGAATCTTTGCAATTATTAATCAACTTTTTCTACGGTCTTAATTAATTGTTTGACGTCTACTGTTCGAATGCCCGAAGCTCGCCATAGTACTCGGCCAGCCATCCTTCAATGATCTTCACCTCAGTTTTTCGTTGCTCCACCAACCAGTCTGGATCAGTACTATCTGATCGAAGTACATCTAAGCAATGAGACCCTGTATAATAAATGTTAATTTTGTGTTAATATAAAGAACTATTGATGTCTCTTCTATTTTTTTTTAATTTTGTTTTTTGTGTTTGGCTTTAACTTCTTGTGGAAATAGTGAATTTGGGATTTACCATTCTTTGCAAGGACTGCAACGACAGTGTCTGATATGTTCTCCAAAACCCTGCGATTAGAGTTAATAAAATCAAGAAACTACTTACCATACTTTATACGTGTTCAAAAAAAAAAAAAAAATCGAATTATACTCATTTTTAAGTGTATGAATTTTCATTTGCTTACCCGCCACTACTGTACGGGTCTCGTAGTCCATTGGAGAAAATAATATTGCTTGCGAACCTGTAGAGTGCCAGTTTTATATCCTGTTTAGCAGAATTTTTGTTAGTATTGGCGATATATATATATATATATATATGTTGAAGCATTATATATGGAGAAATTGAAAGATTGGTATGAAAAGTGGAATATATATATATATATATATATATATGTATGTATGTATGTATGCATATATGTACATGTTTATAAGATGAAAAAAACATACATGGCCTCCAAAGTAAGTAGTGACCCAATGAGAACGAGGAGGGACACCATATAATGCTTTGCAGGAGTCGATGTATTCTTGCAGATCGAATTGGTAAGGTGGGAACATGGATTCGTTGCTGACGCCCATGGGAATCACCAAGTCACTACATGTCTGCTTGGTACAGTATACAGTATTAGCATCCTCGTCCATCATCACATATATGATTAGTGGCAGTATTATGAACTCATGAATAATTCAGTTATTAAAAAATAAAATTGACCATATTGTTGATGCGCTTTCTAATAAAATGTTGGGTTATATTATTGTATGTGACTCATTTATATTTAAAAAAGGAGCATTAATAACGCAAAGAGAAAAAACATTATATATTCTTAATAATATTATGTGTACTCTTGCAGAATCAGACTTAGTCAAGTTAATTTAGTCATTGTAGAGTTAGATTTAGCAAAATTAAATTGATTTAACCATGGCAGAATTAGATTTAGCCAATTTGAATGCAGAGTATTGTTTGTATAAAATATTGCTAGTTTTTTTGTTTTTTTTTTTTTTTTTTTTTTCTTATCGTGATATAGGAATTAAAGACCTGGAATTACGTGCATTAGGGAACTAATAATGTTTAACTATGAATAATTAATTTACATACGTACGTACCCATTGAATTTAAGTTTAAGTTACTGAGAAAACACGTATAATAGTTTAACATGCAAAAATTCAAAAGAGAGAAATATATATATTTCTCTATGATGATATCTAAAAAACGACTATGCATGTATCTATCTTATGTTTATTAAAATTTAAAGTTTTTACTGAGAAAACTATGAAACATTTAGATCCAGAATTGTGGATTGACTAGTTGAATCTTTTCAATTTCATGAGTAATGCATTTCCTTAATTATAGTTTGCATCTATAAAAGTTGATAAATATAACCTTGGCTAATAGAAGTGGCAACAATGTGAAGCAACATATACCAAAGAAAAAGGCAATATTCCCTGAACTCGATTTTCTTAAGGGGAACTCTTTCAGTGACAACCATGTTGAGCAATAACCTAGCTGTGCATGTCAATGTTCATAATCACATTGAAGCAAGGTTTTATCAAGTAATTAACCTTTGGCACGATGTTTATATGGCAAACAGCGTTTATTTGGACCAAAAATCATAAATGTTTTTTTTTTTTTTTAAAGAAAAAAATTACGAGCCACAACTTTGAATTTGATCTTAAGTATGAAAACTAATATACAGTTGAACTTAGTGAACTATAAGTTAGCCTTATCATTGAAACCCTTGTTAATAATTTTTAAGTAGGTCATGTATGATAAATCAATTAAGATAAGGTGACAAGATATACTTAATTACCTGCCAACTCCACCCTACATCTGTTTCAGATAGGTTTCTGGGTTCATTAACATAGCACGACCTGTTTCCATAATATGCAACAACACCTGCAAATATTTTGCTTAGAGTATCATTTCCAGAAGAAACTCCATCAATTCCGCCACAGACAACAGTAACTGGATAACTTGGTGGCCTATTGTATTGAGCTGCCTCACAGTACAAACTATCCAAGTAGTCCTTCAGCTCAGACGAGTTGGTCAACGGACTAAAAAAACAAGAAATTAAACAAACAGGGGAATGAGTAAACTAATCATCTGAATTATTAACAATGTTTCTTATATATGTAAACTTTCAATTCTTGCAAATGACAAGAAAACAAAAGAGTAGTGACAAAATCATAGAACCAATTCTTAATATTGTGAAAAGTTCAACATGTGACAATGAAACAAGTACATAACGATAGATTAATCATTAGACTTAATACAATGTTTAAATGAACGATTAGATTTAAATATTTTCAATGAAACCATCATATTTAGTGGTGGTTTCGGGATGAACATATCCCAACATGCAATTTGACATGAAAACAAAAGAGTAAGGGCGGAAAATTCAAAGAAGGTGTCACTAATTAAACACTACGGAAGATAACTGGAAGAAGTTTTTAGAATGCTTATAACAATTCCTTCGAATTAATACTTATAATCATCAAAATTATCTAGCTAGCAATCTGTAATTACCTACCTGCAAGTGCGGAATTTGTTGCTAAGAAATGAGAGGCCTTCAGGCTTGGAAGCAATATCATCAATTTCGGACCACGACTTTTTTATGGTCTGGTAGCAAGTTTCACTGGCTTCCTACACATGCATGCCCATAAATCACAATTAATCGTTTGTTTACTAAGACATACATATTAACTATACTAAATTTTTTTTTTTTTTAACAAGTAATATTATCTACACTGAAGAGAAGTGTTGGCCTTAGCCTCATAATGGGTTAGCAATGATGTGGTTTAAACTCGCATTTGGCGATAATCGAACCTAAGACCTCTCACTTACAAGTGAAGAGGAATACCATTAGACCGTAGTATTAAGTGGCATTAACTATACTAATTTAAATATACGATTTAAATTGTATTATAGAAGCCTAGTATAGGAGGGTTGAGGGTGAATAGGTTTCTTCGATAAAACCGAAATCATATGTTCGAAAACATGTATGTATGTATGTATGTATGTGTGTATTTATATATGTATATGTGTATATAAATATTACTTGAAAATCTTTGGTAACAATTGAATAATATCCTTTTTCAGGTGGAATAATGTCCTCAAAGTACAGAATTGGAGCTGATGAGGCTAGAGCTCCTAGAGCGACATGGGGATATTTTAGCCGAAACCATGAAGCAAGCACTGCATCAAGTGTAAGAATAGGAAAATTAAAACATTAACAAAAAATTTACTTATACATTAATTAATTGATCGTAACATTCACAAAATGGAATCACTCACTTCCACCATATGATGCACCGATAACAATCACCGGAGAATGTTCAGCGCGGAGTTGCTTCTTTACATGTATGAGGATCTCTGCATAATCTGCCATTGCTTGAGCTGAGTTGAAGTACCCAATAGTGCTTGCATTTTTAAATCCCTCTTCCCTTGATCCAAATGGGACTGATTGCCCATAGTAACGGTGCTATAAAGAGAAAAATAAAAGTTCAAATTAACTATAAAAAAGGTAAGAATTCACCTGATAACACTATATATTTTTATGTTGATAAAGGATATTTTAAACTACTCTAATTTATTGAAATGTTCGGATCCAATGGACAGACATACTGCCAGACAAACTGGCCTACCCTATATTTGTGATAAGAACTTTAGGTTGATAATCAAGTACGTGTGGATAAGCTTTGCAGGAGGACATTTCTAAAACATCAACCACTCAATATGGCGAGATGGAACTCTTTCGTAAGTACCTCGATAAATATCTGGAGAGCTTGAAACTTGTCCGCGTTTTCACTAAGAAAGCCAATAATAGACAGATCAGCATCAATGGCTTCTTCTTCACCGAGGTAAGCAAATATTGGTGCGCTGATATTGGAGCCTCCCCAATGCTTGAAATCGATCAAATATCTTTGCTGAAAAGTATTGAAGCTATCAGGCCTGAAGTTGAAATGGTCAAGTGTTTGGTTGTAATAAAATGTTTGAAATTCTGTAACTGGATCAAATGCAGACAAAGGTTTTGGGTGGTCGCGTGCAAAATAATTTCCTTGTACGAATGCTCCAGCATTGGGACTTAGCCGCGGGATGTTAAAACGTGTAGCAGAAACTGAGATTGTGATACAGAGAGAAATAATTAGCACAAGGCATTGAAGCAAAGATATGAGTGGGTTCATGGCAAGGTTTTGGAGTAGAATGCTGCTAATTGGAGAGTTTTAGACTAAGCACAGCCATATATAATTACAGAAATTATATAATGGCCGGCGACAATTGGCGCTTGCAACAGGATTTTATTACGGAAATTATCACTTTTCCAACAATTTAATAAAAGGAAGAATAGAAAAAATGGAACTTTAACGAAAAGCTTCCGATAGTGTTCATTTTAACGAAAAACCACATTTTTACACTAAAATGTCAATTCTGGTACTATTCACTTTGCCTTTTATTTTGTCCTTATCGTTAAAACTCAAAGTTTTCAAGCCATTTTCATTCGTTTTCCTTAAAAAAAAACATCATTTCATGGAAAGAATTAATTGATATTTCTTGGGTGATGCTATTGACACGCCTATTTTTTTCTCCCACACACTCTTAAATTTCTAACCGTCAGACCGAATGAAATAAAGAAGATTAATGAACAAAATTAACAAGAATGTGCCGAAGGTAAAAAGGCAACAGATATATTTTGTTTATTGGAGTTGATTCTTAATTTAATCATATTTTTTAAAAATGCATACGACAACGAATAATTTTTTAATATTTTCCCTCTTATTGTAATTTTTAGGTTTTCATTTGATATGCATGAAAAATAATTTTTCTTCCAATATTAAATGAAATAGAAAATGAATAATTTTGATGTGCAAAGGACATGCTTGTCGATTAGTTAATTGGTTCAAGAATAAGTTGCAAGCTCGAATTGATATTATGATTATAATAACTTGACCCAGTCCAAGCTACCATATCAAAAGAAATACATCACCATCAATTGATAGTTAGAAATCAAAGATTTTTTGGATATATTGTGGAATGTGTTGTAAAATCGGTGGTGTGTGGGCAGTGGAATATAAAATAAATAAGACACAATATTTATGAAGTTCCTCTACAGTCAATGTGACTGGAGTAATCCATCTTATTTTTCTTTGCAAAATAGTAACGAACTATTCATTTGGGCCATCCACATATTATATTACAACAATCCCCCTTGGATGGCCACAAGTCTTCAATTGACTCGTTAAAATCTTGATCCGTTTTGGATGCTCCCCCTGATGAGTATCTTCCCCTGATTTCAAATCCTTTAGGTTGATGCGTGTCAATGCAACACTTGAACTGTTCTGGGCTCGTCGTTGATCCTTCTGCTTCAGTCTCTTGCATAGCAGGAGTGGGGCGCAAACTTTGCCTTTGAATGATTCTTCAAAACATCACTTTTTAGCGGCTCGTCCATGCTTGGCATCTTCAGTGCAAAGAGCCAACATCATATCAATTGTTCTTAGGTATTTGCTGAAGATATCCGAGACATATCAACAGTTGAAGATGATTACTTGAGAGCAATGCTAGGTAAGCAATCATGCAAATGTCCCAAGAAGTCGGTTCCTGACTGGAAGTTTGATTTCAGTTTCTAACTGATTGCTCTCTTTTTCCTTGTCATGTAGATAAGAACAACAACAAAGAAAAAGGACAAGGGAAAGCATGATATGAGATACTTTTGCTTTCGACCCTAATGATATGAGATATTTTTGCTTTTGAAGAAAACAGTAGAAGGTTTTGATACTGATGCAAAACTTCTCGATCAAAACTATTTTCTTTCTGAGGAAATGAGTTAAGCATTTTGAGGGATTTGATTGAAGAGGTATTTTTGGAAAAGAGGAAAGTAAAGCATTTCGAGATGCTTTGTTGAAGATGCATTCTTGGAGAGGGGGAAAAGTTAGGCATTCTTGCAAGTTTGCGTTGTCATGGAGGACGGTAAAATTCACGCTTTTCAACTTTGTCAGAGATCATTGACAAAGTTGCCCGTGATATCTGAAAAGCTGAGATTGCATCTAAAAAGTGCCAATGAACTTTATTCGAAAATCTGGCTTTTGAAATGGGAGAGCAGTGCCTCTTCGATTTTTGAACAATTGGCCATGTTGCCTCTTCTTTTATAGAGGCATCAGTTGTGTTCAAAAGCACGCTCAGAAAGTCGCAGCCTGTAGAAAGTTCCCCTTTTAGTATTTATGATATTTCAATTTATCTGACCTCATTTTCCTTCGTCATTTTTGAAAATGGCTTGCCCATCTGACCGTCGTTTCAATTTGAATGTTGTGGAAGATGCAGAGATGTCTCCTCAAGACAATATATGGCACCCATCATTCTTATCCGCTAATGGTCCTTGGTCCTTTTACTGTTGGGGACTTTGTGACAAAGAATAATGTAACCGCTACAGTGGTAGCTAGGAATCTTCTCACTCCCAAAGATAACAGGATACTTTCAAAACGGTCCAATGAATTGGCTGTTCAAGACTCCCTGGCTTTCAGTGTTCAGTGTGCGAGCTTTGTATCCAATATGGGTCAACGTATACTTGCTCGAACTCGCCAAGTCGAATCATTAATGGCTAAAATGGCAAGTCTTAGACAAGAGATCAGAAGGCTCAAGCATGAGAATAGAGAGTTGCATATGCTTGCAAATAATTACTCAACGAGCATGAAAAGAAAGCTTGACCAACTGCGGAAATCCGAAAGTCGAATTCAAAGTGACCATTTTATGTTTGTGGCTTTATTTCAAAGGCACCAATTACCTTCGCTGTTTGGAGTTTTATCAAGTATTAAGGCTCCAAATAATCAACTTCTGATGCCTTTTTTTTCTGGAGTTCTGCCAAGTACTGAGGTGTCACATGAGCAATCTCTAGTCCCTCTCTCTTCTGGGATTCTACCAAGTTTTTGAGGCTTCACATGAGCAACCTTTGTGAAGGCCTTCCCATTTGTTTGTTGTAACTCATGTGTATGCATGTCTATAATTTCTCCGAGATATCAATAGATAAACTTTATTTCATTCAATGTATTATGCTAAATACAATAAAACATATAATTGACTAAGTTGTGGTACTTCTGAACCAAATATCAATTTATCTTTACCCTTATGAAGATAAATGATCTTTCTTAGTGTCTAAATATTCATGCTGCCGGCCCCTTCAGGTCAGTCGGCTTTTAGCCCACGAAAGGACTGATTCGATCAAGTCTTCATGGAAGTAAAAGTGAAATGATTAAGCTCAAACGTGGCTCAGTCGAGCAATTAATGAACTAAAATTGCTAAGGATTAGAATGAACTCTATTTAGATACAAATTATTCTAAGGATCAGAATTCATTCTTGATCAAATAAGAATGAATTAATTGCATAAAGGGACTAGGTTCAGAATCATGGTTTAAATCAAGAAGCAAACATTGGATGGAGTTCAGTTTCGACTGATGAATGGATTAAAAGGGATAAAGAAAGAATATTTAGGTAAATGCCAAGTGACATAGTTCCATTAAAGCTCTTTATTGGTATAATTTGTTTATCAGATCATCAACCTTATAAATAGAACAGCTTCTGCAACATGAAAAGACCCTTCCAACTCAACAAACTTAAAATGCTCTACGTGAAATCCCTCAATCTATCTGAAACCCTTCTCACACCCCTGAGAAAAAAACTAAGGTCATTTCCAACCGACCTGGCCAAAAGACCATAGGCCAAAATATAGCCCGTTTTGACACGAAAATCATCTCCAACCGAGAACTAAGCCAAATGACTTGTGGACCCCACTTGGCCAAAAACCAAACACCAGGCCAGTGGGCTAGCCAAAATCAGCCAGCCAGCTAGGAAATGGAGGCTTCTAGGCTTGTTAGGCCATCTCTAACCGATCTGGCCAAAGGGCTTGTGAGCCCCACTAAGCCAAAAAAGGAGAAAAAAGCTAACCGGCTGGCCTAACCCAGCCAGCCCCAGGCCGGTCCAGCAGTTTAAATCCAACGACTACTTGCTGACGTCAACTAGCCGTTATATTTGATTTTTTTTTTTTTTTTTTTTTTTTACAATTTAAAAAAAAATTGTAAATTTCTATTTTTTTTTCATATTAATTACCTAAGCCATTAAACAACATTAAACAATATTAAACAATCTTAAATAACATTAAGTAACATTAAACAACATAAAAAAAAACAATTAACAACATGGAACTTCCAACAACATAAAAAAAAAAAGCATTTAACAACATAAAACTTAAAACGCTTACTTCATGCTTCTTTTGGCCCAAAAATGTGCAATAAGATCCTGTTGTAGGTACTTGTTTGTGGCATGGGAACGTATCATCCTATGGTGCCTCATGTACTCATTTAAAGAGATATTACAGTTCTTGAATTCAAAGCAAATTAGGCCCATCATATATTTTTGCATAAGCCCTTTTTGACCTATTTGGATACTCTTGGTCGTCATTAGACTCTCCATCAATATGCCCATCTCGCTCATCCTCCACAATCATGTTGTGTAATATGATGCAAGACATCATGATGGAGTCCAAATTCATGTTGTGTAATATGATGCAAGACATCATAATGGAGTCCAAATTTTCTTAACTCCACCCTCTTGTCGATTCCTTAATGATCTTCCACCGTGCTTATAGAATACCGAAAGCTCTCTCAACATCTTTCCGTTATGCCTCTTGGTGTAAGGTAAACCACTTTTCGGCGTCATTCATAAGGTTTGCAATTGCTTGGACAAGTGTCGCCCACTTTGGGTAGATGCCCTCTGCCAAGTAATACCCCCCCCCATGTTGTATTGACGGTCGTTAACATAGTAGTCAAGTTGAGGTGATTTACCCTTCCGTCAGGTTATTGAAGAGAGGGTGAACAACCTAAGAACTGTAATATCATTTTGGGATCCTGGGACTCTAAAGAAAGCATGCCAAATTCCATGTGTCAAATGACGCAACCGCCTCCTAACACAATTGTTGGCTTTCTCGATCTTCCGCTAAAGCCTCATTGCCATATGGTGGGATAGTTCTTCCACTGCCATTGCATGATAATTTAATGACCCTATCATGCCCAGAAAGCCACAATCTTCAGCTTTGCGAATGAGCCGCTCTAGATCTGCTTGATTTGGTTGACGAAGGTACTTCTCTTTGTAAAGTTAAACAACTGTTTGACATAATGCAACAAGAGTATCAAGGCATGTAGACTCAAACATACCACATGTATCATCTATCGCATCAGCTGGGGAGGCATAGGCCAGCATTCGGAGTGCAATAGTAACCTTCTGATGAA